CTTCGCGCTTGGTGATGTGAGAGCCTGGTCCGGTGAGAACCCGGCGTGCTCCGTCCCGGCTTTGTAGGGATGCGAGGTCAATGGTCTAACGACTACGGCATGCACGACTATGAGTACACCCCCCCCCTCCCCCCACAGCACATACACAAGCAGCTGTCGCCTCGTCACAGCCCAAGCCAAAGCTCCTCTCTCCCCTGCCCACGACTCCAAATCTACAGAGGCACCACGTCCACGCAAAATTCCCCGCCCGCCCGACCAAATAATTCCCTAGCCCCCCTCTGGTTGGGACCAAATTGTGTCCGGAGGGCATCCACGCTGCTCGTCCAGCAGTATCGTCATCGTCATGCGCGTGTCGACTTCGCCGGACCCCGTTCGCTTGTCTATGCCAGTCTTCTTGATACTTAGTCGGTAACGTATCGCTGGATGTTCGCCTCAGGCATTAGATCACGAAATTTGCAGGGACAAGGCAACAGCACAGCAGTTGGTTTTCCTGTTAGCTGACGCCATGTATCCAACTCACAACCCAGGGCCTCCCGCACGACAGGTGCATTGTCAACATTCATTTCCGAGAAACTATTGTCGCACAAGGCCCCACGGCGAGGTTTACAAGCTGGGGGAAGGGGTGCGTGAAGAGGGTTGGGGGGATGACGGCGTGCCTCGTTGCTACTGTTTCTCTTCCGTTAGCGTCTCCGGGAGCACCCCTCATCCCACTTCATACCCTGTACCATAAGTTACTCGGTACTGCACCGAATCCCGGACGGAAACCCTGTGGTATCGTTGACGTGTTTTTTGAAAGACGGTTTCTGGAGGCACACGCCCGAATAGCCGATATCTGTTCAGCTATAGGTGGGTCTAGGGTGGTGGTGTGAGGTGTCGAACGGGAAGGATTGAAGCCCTTGCAGACGATACTGAATTCTCAACCACTTTGGGTTTGTGACCCAGCCCGAAAGATAACTCAGGGGTCAAAGCAAACCGCACAGACCACTTCCGGAGCATTGAGCACGAAAAACAAGTTCAGCTCTGCCCTGCTGTACCTCAGTCAACCTGTTTCACTGCTGTAGAACCAGTGCTAAAACGGCGTTGCTAAGGGGTATTATTAACGACCATAAAATCACGGAACATTTCACGGAAGCGCGTTTTCTTGAACAAATATGTAGGCGTTTTTCCCCGACAACGTGAAAAGAAGGAGCCGGGATTTTGCGTTCATTGCTTCTTTCACGGATCCGTGTTTTTGACAGTAGCATCGGACAAGCGCACCGCGGGCGCTATAATATCACTGAGAACGCTAGAAGGACCTGCCAGACTCACGTCCAGATCTATTGTGGAGATGGACAAGCGGCAGAAGCGGCGTTCAGTCCGTTCTTGGTCCAAAACTAGACATTACGTTGTGCTCTCGTCTTCAACTGCTGCTTGCTGTTGGTGCTGAGGAATTTTTTTCAATCACACATAGCAAACACGGAAACAGTAGAACGAGCACAGCAGTAGCACCAAGACCTCCAACGCGCTGATTCCTTCGGTTCGGCTGTCTATATGATACCATCTCCCGGCGCCGTGCTGCTTCGTGGGTATTGGGTGCTTGGGTGCTGCTCAATAAGGTGTGTGAGAGACGTGTGCCACATCACCAAAATGCCGTTGGAAAAAATGCGGCGAGATGTTCTGTTTTTGGTCGGACACGTCAACATCAATCCACGGCACCACGCAGCAGAAGAGCAACAGGGCCTCCGACACGCTAATTCTTTCGGATTGGCCATCTATATGATGCTGGCCGTCAGTGCGGCTGCCGCCCAAAGGTTGTTGAGCTCGTCTACCATTGGGCAGGTGGTGGTCAAAGGTGGGAGTCGCAACCGTGAAATATGAGCTGGCAAACTGAAGAAATCGCAAGCAACACCCAGGTTGCGAGACTCTGCCCTGCGCCTGTTGTTGCTGAAAACTGAAAGCAGCAGGCCGGTGGATAGGATCTTTCTAATGTAAGTGTGTGATCCTCTGTGTCGGGTGCTGCTCATTGCGCTTGTACCGCTGCTCTATGGTGAGCAATACCAAGTCAACCTGTTGTGTGCCGAGCAAAGCGTGTAGTAGGGAAGGAAACGTACTTTTTTATACTTTCTTAATATCACACAACAAATCCATCTCCATCTATAAAAAATGAGTCTAGGATAGATTGCGATGACATCACGAATAGAACAAGCGACAAAAAGTCGGGTTTTCTTTTCACCGTTCCGTGGAAAATTGCACGACTTTTCCGAAGCGTTGATAACGAGACAAAGAGGGGGGTTGTCCCAAGTTGGTTGTCTCCTTCAAAATCCTTCCGACAAACTACGACAGGGTTTGCTCATCCCTAGATTCTAGTTCCACGCAAGCTCCACCCCTACGTTGTCGACTCAAATGTGGGCTACAAGAAAATGTCGTACAACAGTAGCATGTTTCGAATTTACAGTACATCGCCGTAAACGAACGCTTCCATACTGCTGGTGCTGTGACCACGCCAATACATAGGTAACTCACATAGCTGCACAGCAGCAGTAGATTCGCCAGACACGTGTGCATAGAATGGTCCGTCGTTGGTGCCATGGGACACGAAGCTCAGCTCCTCCGCAATGCCAAACAGCACTGTGACATCGAAGGACGAAGCTCTCAGCAACATCCGCCCCAAGTCGCGAAAGCGAACGAATCGTCGACAGCGCGCCAACGCCGTTGTCTGTTCCTGCAACATGATGCGATGCAACAGCAGCCAGCGTGTTCGATGAGGAACAACAACCAACACAGATACAGGAGCGTAAACGAACAAAGANACAGCACTGTGACATCGAAGGACGAAGCTCTCAGCAACATCCGCCCCAAGTCGCGAAAGCGAACGAATCGTCGACAGCGCGCCAACGCCGTTGTCTGTTCCTGCAACATGATGCGATGCAACAGCAGCCAGCGTGTTCGATGAGGAACAACAACCAACACAGATACAGGAGCGTAAACGAACAAAGACACAAAACAACTGATGGACCAATGCTGATGCCAAGTGGTACAAAGGTCGAACCTCGGTAGAAGAGGCTGCCATTTGTAGCCAGCGTGACAACGGGAAGCGGATGTTCAAAAAGATACCCGCACGAATGTTGCATAGACTACCGTATATGACGCAAGATAACACACCCCCTTGACCGATTTTCGAAGCTCGATTTCTCAACTGCAGGAACAGTCACAGCGCCGAAAGCGGCGGCGTTAAAACCGTCTCGTCGAGAGCTTTTCGAAAATGTATCGTTTCGTTTATGCATCCTCTTCGTCGCGGAGTAATCGAGTTTTGAAAATCGGTCCAGGGGGTAAGTTATCTTGTGTCATATATAGTATGTACGTCACACCCGGAGCAGGTGTGTCAGTTCCCCACAGCAGCACACAGCAGAGCAGTTTGTTTAGAGCAGTAATACAGGAAAAGAACACAAAGTACAGCAGTAGTACAAAAGTAGAGGAACGGGAAACCCAAGCGGAAAAAGGTTACTGGAGACAAACAGGGCATGTCCGTCTCCCTCCCTTTCTGCCCGCTTGCCTGGTAGTCGTCCTTGTGCTCCAGGGTATGTGCCAGCAGCTGCTCCATATCAGTTGTTGAACGCGTACTCGTTCATCGTATTGTACAGCAGTAGTACATCCATCCTCGAGAGTGTCGCCGCCTGCAGATGTCCGCAAGGAAGCACGGAAGTGCGTGCTCTTCCACATTTGGGTGACGCGGCTCGAAAACAGCCTGCTGCGTCTTGGGAACAAGACCACGAACGAGCGTCGACATGACCAACCCTGTGCCCAGCCCTGTGCTGTCGCGGTGGGATCGCTGCGGCGTGCACCTCGTCTGGAGCATCTCCTCTCGATCGAGAAAAAGCGCTGCAAAAGGAGTCACACCACGTTTTCTGCTGTCCACCGTGACACAGACAGTATCCAAGTTAGCTCTGCTGTTGCCTAGCCCTTGTGGTAGGCCTGTGGCGCCCTTGGCTGGGGATGTAGTACCGATGCTCAAAACTTTGCAAAGCTTCCAAACATTGGAAGCTACTGGTTCAAAATTTTCGGGCCCATTTTTGTTCCATATCTTGTGGAGAAATTCGGAGGAACGCCTCCGTACAAGTTCCGAATATTTGGAACTTCGGAACTTTGGAACCGGAAATTGGAACGTGCGATCTTGAAAAATCTTCAGAAACGATCGCTACAAGTCAAGTGTAAACTTATTATCTTCCCGGCTGTCACATATGTACCCCCTCGCTGAAAGATAGAAAAGTTGAGAGAAGGAACATCGCGTAGTAGAGAGATGGCGACGGGCGGCAAGAGAGGATCAGGTTCAACACATACACATGAGTCATGCCTATTTGTTGAATAGTTCCTCGCGCAAACATATATGTAGACCACATAGCATAACACGGCGTGTTGCGCGACGAATATGCCGAGTAGGAGAGAGAGAGCGGAAAAAAAGTGAACACCGTGTTTAGATATTAACATGACTACAGTAGGCACTTTTGATTGGCGGATGAAGACCGTCCGTGTCTTGTCCGAATCTTCCACTTTTTCAATCTGCGTTGCCCCCGGTAGGTCCGCTCAGGTCCGCAAAATTCCTTTTTCCGTCGCTCTTGTTGCCCGTTTGCCCCCCCACAATCTCATTCTTCCTAACGCTCCGTCCAGCTCTCCCTGTCACTTCGCGCCGCCTTGTTCACAGCTTCCCTGCGTTCATCACAGCAGCAACCTTCCTGCTTCCCCCAAGGACCACAACAGTGGGTGAGCGACCCTGCCCCTGTCCGTTCCGTAGCTTGTATAGGATTCCTGCGTTTGTGTGGCACCGAGCCGAGTTGGAGAGAGAGAGAGATCGGGTCGGGTGGAGCGCCAACACCGCCAACGTAAAATGACGTGGAGATGGTTAAGAAAGGGTGCTAGTCTAGCTGGAGCTGAGCTCGGGCGTGGCTACGTGATGCGGAGGCTAGCCGCCGCGTGCTCCAATTGCGCCTCGCTGGACTAACGATGATTCCGTTGGAGTAGGTAGAACGATGGGAGATCGGAAATTGTGAAATAATTGTTGGTTGTCGGGCGCGAAATTGGATTCAGGGTCCCCGGGGGTCCCTGACCATGACGCTCCCAACGTCGAGCCACTGCAGCTGTATCTCGTGACTTGCAGGGGGCTTCAGTGGCGCGTAGGGGAGATGCAGGGAGCTCATGCGCCACGTTTGGTTCACTGGTATAGATGGCGATGCCGGTGTAGATACTGGGCGCGGCCGATGCCGCGGGCAGCCAGTCAGCTGCCGTTCGGAACAGCTTTATTCTTCTTTGTTATGTTTCTAGACCATTTCGGCTCCGTCTACACAGCTGTACCCCTTCCGGACAAAAGCCGTTTATTGCTGCTGCTGTTAGTCGACGTGCCACGAGGATGCATTTGTCGCGGGAGCTCGTTCAACATATTAGCGGTGGCGGTAGAGACAGATGCCTTCGTTCATGTCAATGGGAAGTGAGCAGCAGCACACCTTTTGTAGTTTAGTGTATTTGTGGCACGTGTGGGCCGTGCCGAATCCGTTAAAATTCGATTTGCTCTCCCATCTCCGTTGGTGACCCAACCCTCCTCCCTTCCCAAATCGTCCGTTGCGTGCGCCGCCGCAGACAACAGGTTATCGCTATGATGAACAAGGTGAACTTTGCGGCGTTGCTGGGAGTCGTGCTGGCCTTGACTGGGTCTGTCGGTGAGGAAAACGTAGATAGTGAATGCCAGATGGATGTGTGTAACCTGGGACGGGTCCTGCCTTCTGCGGTGGCACCGCCTTTTTTTTTTGAACCAGCAGTCCAGCAGCAAGCCATGATTCATTTTTCAAACGTCACACTCGAAGAAGTTTTTTCCTGCCCTGATATTTTAGCAGGCGCACATGTGCTTGCTCAAAACCATAATCTCTTGAGCGCGCGCGCTCGCCGACATGGCTAGCATTGACCATCGTTGGGGATGATCACTGCCCCCCCCCCTAGTTCTGAGCACGAGCGACACGTGGAGCTCGAAAGTGCGAACGTTCACGACGCACACACACGGTGGTGGTCTTAACAATCAATTGATGGTTTTCCCGGAACCCGAAAAGGGATGTACATGCAATATCGACGCTGCGTACGCCACCACCCTCCTGGAAGATCTCCCCAGTACAGCCGAGTAGCCTGCTGGTAAAGTCGCGGGGCAACATGCGTTCGCTGGTGTGGCCCACCCAAGGTCAAAGTTTCGTTGGCAAGCTGCTCATTTTCAAGGCCGGCGAGGGCCGAATGGCCGGTGGATGCTGGCGACTTTTTATATGTTTCTTCTAGGTTCTTCACCTGTGGCGTTCGCTGAGATTAGATGCGTGAGGGTATCCACCACGATGCTTTACGTGCATTTAGTTGGGTTGCCATCATTGACTCACCGACTACAACTAGTTGAACAAACATCTGCCCCTTCTAACGAATCTTCATGAACTTTCAGGCGCTCAGACTTGCACCGGCGGAATCTCGGGCGTGCAGTCGACCTCCGTTGACGTGTGCTGCACCCTGGAGTGCGGGACTTGCGGTGGCGTCGGGTGCACCCCAGACAACACCTCGTCGCTCACGGCGCTAGACTGCTGCGCCACTGAGATAGTGGACTCCGGCATACTGTGCTCCGACACCGGCGTTGCCCCTTGCATCCTCACCACAGGTGAGGATTGCGCTGCCCCGCCCGCTGTACAGGACCTGCTGTTGAGAGCACAGTAGAAGCCTTCTGTTTTGCTTCTGATCCGTCCTGCATGTTTGTAAACATTTGTAGCAAGTAGTTTGCGTGTCGTGATTGCTGGTATTGTTCGATGGAGACTTGTTTGTGTTCCAAATGTTGGTTTCCCGTGACAATTGTATGTGCGCGTGGGGCCATGGAAGGCCCCATGTGCTTCATCCTCTGGCAACCAACACAAAGCTTTCGCTCTCTGCACACTGAAATACTATTCTTTATATATGGTAGTCGACAAACTGCCTTTGCCTGTAACAAATGTTATTTCAACACTGCCTAATCACTGTAGGGTAGAGTTGTGAATCGGTACGAAAAAACGATATATTTTACATCGGCTGCGCAGCAGCCGATATAACGATATTTTCTCCGATATATCGCCTACGGCGATATATCGGAGAAAATATCGGGCGAGCGCCGCGAGCCGTGATGGGGGCNATCCTCAGCAGTACCCTCCTTCGGTCTCTCCCTGTGTCTACTTCCCGGTTGGTTCTGGACATGGTGCTGTTGTCTGCTGTTTCTGCGCTGCTGTGCTGTGTGTGTGTGGCGTACAGGGGCTCCGTTCTGCTGCGCATACCCTAAATTTGATTCACGGAGCCCCTAAGACATCGGTCGGAACATCGGCACGAATTTTCGATACCGATATCGATATATATCGGACGATATATATCGTGTACATCGTTCCGATTCACAACTCTACTGTAGGGCCTTTGTCTTCACCTTAAGAGTTGAAATTCCGAGTTTTACTTGGTCATTGTGTACCACATGATCAGTGATTGTCAGGACTGGTCCTTGTTGTTCTTGTTTCTACATTAGGCTTATACCTGATATGCGGATTTTTTTTTTTTATGCGGATTTTTCTGGCTGAGCATGTGCTTACAGCAGCGAATTATGCACGCAGTTATGCTTGTTTTCCAGTTTTATGTGTGTACCTATGCACGCGCTTTCTGCCGACGGTGTTGCTTTTATATGACGTTGAGGGTCACTGCGCGAGGTACGCACGTGCCCCTGTCTTTCCCGACAACACGTGGTCTTGCTGGTTGTCGATTCTATGCTCTGTGTTATTCTGATTTCTTCACCGTGATCCGTGATACGTGATATCGCAGAAAAACAAACAGAAAAACAAGCGTACAGCGACACCACACGAACAGACAGCGCCAGACACCAGACCTAACGACCTAACCAGACACCGTGGTTACAGGTTACACCCAGCTCTTAGCACGCCCTATTCCTATTTTCCCCGGCCTCTGTTGTACTTAAGAAGAGCGGACGCTGCCACGCGGTCACTAAAGCTCTTCTCCTGCCTAGCATCCATACAAGCACGCAGGATGGAAAAGACACGTTCCATGAAGGCAGAGGACGGTTGGAGCAAAACGATGTCCTTCGCAACTCCATACCAGTGACAAAGGCTACTCTTGTGCCTGTTGTCATGCCAGAATGACCACAAGTCGTAGCCGGTATCAACTCCAGAGGCGGCGATATTGTAATCGTCCATCTGATCTTTTAGTCTCGCGACATCATTTTCCGTAACGAAGGGGAAGCGACAAAGGAGGTCGATGTCAGCAACATGCAACTGATGCTGCTTCACGTAGCGGAAGTCAAGGAGCCGTGCAGCCTCGAAGATGGCGATAGTCTCGTGTTGCTGCGCATCGGGGTGGTCCCCGTCTGCACGGGGACTATCGCCATCTTTGGTCGGTGGTGTGGTGGTCTGTTGTGCTGTTGTGCTGCGCGTAATTTTTTTTGTCAAAAACTCAAAAACCCGAAAACCCGCCGCTGATCCGCTGATTAATTACAAGACTTTAGGACTTACCTACCTAGTCACACCTCACAACTCAAAGACTCAGAGCCCAGAGCTCGCCTTAAACAAGCGCCGCTCCTTCCTCTCTAAATGAGTGAATAATAATATGGGCTATGTTTAAGGATAATTTTGCTCAGTTAAGCAGTAAACGTTCGTTGTTGTTCAAGTTGCTGGTTGCTGGTGCCACAGGAAGTACCTAAACCCACTCCTGATGCACCCCTATCCTCAAAATGAAGCAGGCATAACCACGTTTATGCACAGTATCCCCATATATGCGCGACATTATGCGCCAAAAAAGAATAGTATGCACGGTCGACATTATGCGTTTGCCTATGCGCGCCAAGGCCGTTTATGTCGAAAACAATGCCCGCATATCAGGTATAAGCCTATTCTACATACGCCTAAAAGGCTTGGAACACAGCAACTGATCCCCTCGCTCGTTCGTACGTTGCCTCACCCTCCCGCTGTTCAGAGGCCGCATCCGCGGACTCGACGTGTGACAATGGCCAGACCGGTATCCAGGACCCGGACACGGACGTCTGCTGCCCGCTAGAGTGCGGCGAGTTCTGCGGAGGGGAGGGATGTGGAACCATCCCCGGTGTTGACGCCAGCCAGTGCTGTGCATCCATCATCGAGCAGTCGGGCATCGTGTGCGGAGACGGCGTTGAGGCGCCCTGCACTCAAGTAGCAGGTGGGGGGCGTTCGTCAAAATTTGAAAGTTTGTGATCTGGCTGCAACTTGCACTGCTGCGGTTATTCGTTCTATGTACTACGCGTCGATCTGATGTAGTGTGTCTACAGGTTGTCACGTTTTTCACGGTTCATATCGTTTCTGCTCGATGAGTTGCTGCTACAACTTGCGTTGTTCTTGCCCCCGTTTCATTTGCTGATGTACACGTGTCATTCGAGAGTAGCGCACAACTGAAAATTTGCTGCACCATGGGTGTTTCAAAATTTGCACCGCTTGACTCACCACACTTGCCCCGGTTTCTGATTTTCCCTTCTGTCTCTCTTTCTACAGTTGCTATCGCCGACTCGGTCTGCAGCAACGGCTTCCCCGGTATCGAGAGCGAGGATGCGACCGTCTGTTGCGACCCGGCTTGCGGTGTCTGCGGTGGCTCCACCTGCGGGGACGTGGCGGGCCTTACCGGCGCCGACTGCTGCACCGGCACCATCATCGCCAACGACGAGCTCTGCTCCGAGAAGGGGTCCGCTCCGTGCGTCGTGGACCCTCCTGGTGAGCTTTTTCAACAGCGTAACACCGCTGTGAAACTCGTGTTGCCCGACCGACCCTCTTCCTTTGATGACGATGATGACGCAGCCAGGGGGATTTGCTGCCGACGATGGCTTGCTACCCACGATACCGCACGTCCGTTCTCCCTACGCCTTGAGAGAACAACGGCGTGCCCACGTCAGATTGCCCGATAGGGTTCGTTCAGTTATTGGGCTGTGCACCCCGGCAACCTCCGAGTGTAGTAAGATGCCGTTTCTCAACGACCCACCCACCCGTCCTTGCCTTTCCTGCACCTCAGAGGTGACTGACTCCACCTGCGCCAACGGACTCCCTGGCGTTTCTTCGGGATCGGTCTGCTGCGCCCAGGAGTGCAACGGCGTCTGCGGCGGGGACGGATGCGGGGCCATCGCCGGCACCAACGGCGCTGAGGACTGCTGCGCGGCCACCATCCTGGCCGCCAACATCGCCTGCGTTGACACCGCTCCCTGCGTGATGGTCGAAGGCACTTTCACCCCCTCCCCGGCTGTGGTCCCGACCGTTGCCGCCACCACCATGGCTCCCCTCGCCCCGGGAGAGACGGTCACCATGGCGCCTACCCCGACATCGCAGACCGCCGCCCCCACGGCCGGTTCCAGGGACCTTGACTTCGGCACCGGTGTGCCCACCCCTGCTCCCACTTCCTTCGAGGAGGCTGTCATGAGTTCGGCGCCCACCGCTGGCTCGAGGGACCTCGACCTCGGCGGAAGCATGGCGCCAACGGCTGGTTCGAGGGACCTCGACCTTGGCACCGCGGGGCCTTCTGCTCTGAGTGACACCATGGCCCCGAGCACCGCGGCGACTGCCGGCTCCGCGGCTCTGTCGGCAGGCAGCGTTGTAACCGTCGCCGCTATGGCGGGCGGCATGTTCGCGGTGCTGGCGGCAACACGCAACTGACGAGATGCGGCGCAACCCAAATTTTACAAACGAAATCGGCGGCATGGAACGAAGCGGGAACGGACTCGGAATGGAAGAAGTCTTTCTCCTCTGTTCCGGTGCCCAAGATAGTTCCCCTCAACCCGTGTTGTTATTTGTTGTCTCCACGCGTGTGCGTTTGCGTTTGCGTGGTTTTGTGTGTTCTGACCCACTCCTGCTTTTGTCGTATCAGGAATCCGGGTGTGTCGGTATTCTTTCCCGAGATTTGTGTGGCATTTTTTATCAGGCAAGGAAGCTTGCGTCGTAAACGTCCTTGGATGTCGGCGAAGGGGTTTCAAGCTTGATCGCGGGTAGCGGGGAGGGGTAGGGTAACTTGGGCGAACAGGGGGGCCTCTAGAGAGAGATCTGTCTGGGTTGTTATTGACGAGCTTCCATCTTATCGGCATGGTTGTCAGCCATGTGTTGTGAGGCTCTCGAGTTGTTTGATGGGTATCGGGGTGGGAGTTGAAATAGGCATGTACTTTTTTCAAGCTTGACAAGTCGACCGACTCCATAAAGTGGGAAGGAACCAACAGTCGTCTCAAAGACGGTGGGAGTCGCGTTGCATAGCATTCGAGCGCCGGGTCTCTCGGCTGGGTATCCACGCTTTGTTGGCTTCAATGGCTCCCATGAGGTGTTCGGCACCTCCCGTTTTATATATGTCCGATGCCAGCCGGCTGACCTTGAGTCGGGCGGTGTGGCGGAAAGGAAGACTGGAGAAGAAACCTTATTGAGGGTGGATTCTTGATTCACGTGACGTTTTGGTTGTCCCATCAGCTCGTCCGTTCGTCCGGGCATGATGATTGAATGGGAGATTCGTTCTCGTCCAGCTAGTTGTCGGCGAGAGAATCGATGACAACCAACGGGGCTTGAAATTCGTGAACGTTCGGAAAACGGTTCCGGTTCCCTTGTGGTGGCAACTTTTGTTTCGTCGAATATGTGGGGATTTTCCGAGTGTTGTCCAGAAGACAGGAGGCTTCCGATGGGAAACTTTTTTCTTGTCTGTTCTAGTAGTTGTCCCCATCCCCAAAAAGTTGTATTGGTATTTGGTCGTGTGTTTGATTGAGTCTCAACAGTCACGATTTTTTTTCCATGTGTTCCCCTGTACCCCGGGTCATTCGACGCGGGGCCGCGAATTAGCAATACAGGCGTTGCCATCATCCTGGCCTGTAGGCTGTTTTAAGGACCATTTCCTCAACTTGACTATCGTCTCGATTGGCTGCTTTGCCTGGGACGTTCGATTTCGTTTTTGGGGACTTGATTTTTTGTTCAAGTGTTGTTTCTGCAATACGCGAATAGCCTTCGATGCCGTTGCTTCAGCAGTTCCATCAGTCTCTTGGGGCTTCCGCCGCACACTCGGTACTTTTTTTGTATTGCATTGTCTCTGCGAGTAGATGAGATAGCCCTGGATAGCTAACGTTCTTGCCTTGACTATTTCTTTGTCGATGCATGGCTGGGTGCCTCAATCAAGGACTTGTAATTTTCATCTTGTTGCTTTGTTCAGCTGCTGGCCATGGCTACTCTTGCGGTTTTCTGTCGGGAAGCCTCGCGATGGTCGGGCGGGGAGGCTGTGGTATACGCGGTTGTTCGCATGTATGTGCGGGGGGAGAGAGGATGTATGTTCATAGTCCGCAGGCGAGAACATATTTTGAGCGGTGACTTCAAAATATAGCTCGGTTGCATATATAAACAAAAAGAATTACGTTTTGGACGTTTTGATATACCAGACTGGTGTTGTAGGTCATGTTGTTGTTGTTGTTGTTGCTTCCAAGAACGGTGCACGGGATCTAATTTTTCGGTCGGAGAAGATAATAGATGGTGTCGTGATGATCTGGATGGAGATAAAGAGGAGGCGTGCTAGCGGGAGGAGTAGGTCTCCCCGCCACGTAAAACAACGAAACTTTTTTTCGTCTCTGCTGCTGATTGTTAAGCGATGTTCCTAATAGCCATCATCGTATGCTTAATTTGCACGCTGTGGCCGCGATACACCGGAAGTCACCTTGCTTGTATTGGTGCGACTTTTTTTCGCGCACGGTTGCCTACAACCGTCTCCCTAGTATCCATCAAGTCCTACACCAACAGAACAGATGGGTGCCTGAAGCAAAGAACCCTCACGGTGCTGTGTGGAGACTGCAGCACACTCCCCGACAACTCCCCGAAATGATGTGTCAGTGCAACAGGCCTTGGTCCTGTGCTCTTGGCTGTTACTATTTTCCTGCGACGCGTTTCTCCCGGAACCGACTGCTGCTATCGACGATCGACAGCTACTGCTGTAACTGCATGTAGCCTGAGACTACAGCAGCATATCAGTAAAAAACAATCCGCTAGTAGCAGAGGTCGTGAGTTCGAATCCCCATGGAGTGAAATTTACATGTGCGGGTGAAAGCGAAATATAGCTGACAAGTTGTCGTGAGTACAAGACTTCGACGTTGGCACCGTTGACGAGGGAAAGGGACGGCTGGACCCTTCTCGCGATAAAATTAAAATTCAGCACGCACCTCCTTCTTCCCCTCGCTCCTCGACAAGCTTTTGCTTAGACATGGGTTGTAGTGAAGGGGAGGGTCTTTCTGGCGAGCAGGGCTAGACTCACCCTCAAGGGATGACCGAAACCTTCTTGCTGCTGCGCATATCCGCCGCGAGGCATGCGCGTGGTGGTGTAGTTGGGTCGGCACTGATGGGGTCAGGCGAAAAAATGTAGATGCGCGGGCCTCTGGCCGTCGGCGTAGGCAGCGATGCCCATCTCATTTTTTGTGCGCGGAGGCAGACACCGTCAGAAGGT